TCATCAGCTGAAYGCCCCAATGCCCTTTTCCTGCGATTCTATACAGCACGTGTTATACTGCTTAACGGTCAGTCACTCAAATTGCCATAACTAGTTCTATTTGCATGATGCTGCRTGCACACTGGTTTTATACAATATGATTTAAGGCAAAGGGTAGCATGAGAATGAAGATGAGCATTTCTTTAGGAATACAATTGACAAAGCAAGGAAATACTCTATGCAAAAATGAAAATTCATGGATTTTTTTTTAAATCACATTTTAAAAGTTACATATTTCACTTACTGATGTTGCTCAATGAGAAAGAAATGCTTGTAAAAAGAACTTGCCTACAAACAAGACAGTTGAACAGAAAGAGTTGTGTGCCTATGAATTATAGTTCCAGGCTGCTTATACTCTGCCTTAAAGCTCTGTATTCTCTCTCTGTACTTGTGCAATGCATTTATATTGGAAGGCCCTCTTAAAACTGGGTGATCTATTGGTTTAGGGAGCTAAAGATTAATTCCAGATGTGGTCATGCTCTTCTAGCCCTTCAAAAAGTAACTACTGCACCATCTGTTTTGTAATAGACAATTTCAAAGAGTGCCAAGGGGAATGTTAAAGACATTGGTCAAATGGCCATATATACCTCACACACAGGAATTCTAGAGGTCATAGTGCTTCAGACACATCCATATTTTCACTTTTTTTCCCCACTCTTCCACCACAGGAACTCAAGGAACAGCTTGCTCTCTTCCCAAAATAGGAAGGAAATGTTTTCCAGATTACTAGCAGTGTTGATGTGTATGAGGCCAAATTCAGACCTGAATTCAGTGGAATGAATGGAATTCAGGATGACATATTCTTATACCTGTTCCATTTTTAGTTTATTCCAAACAAACAGCATCATTTTATTTTAAATGAGCAGATTTGGCTCATTTGGCACCAAAGACAAATGAAGGGTGCTATGGGTAGGGAAAGATTGTTCCAGATAATTTTTTTTTTTTTTTTTTTTTTTGTGGTAATTTTAGGAACCATGTAGTGAGGGTCTTGTGTCAATTCTTTGAATGATGCATCAAAATCTAGTTCTCTGATGTGTAACACAGATGCATCTAAAATGAATATAGCAAAACTGATCACAAAAGTAAAATAGGACAAAGGGATGTTCTCTGCAGAATCCSGAAGTATAAATCCGGACTTTAAAATTCAAGATTTATACCTAACAGTCCTGAGAAAAGATCTGAAATGGAAAGAAACAGAAAATTTTCTAGAGAAGAGGGAATTGTGTGCAATCCTAAAGACTCACTTTTGCTGAAGTGACCAGAGGGAAATCTTCTGGGGGAAGAAAAAAAAAAAAAAAAGAAAGATTAAATAACATGTCTCCAGTTCTTTCCTCTTTGGTTTTCCCATGATTTCTAGTCGTGTTTTGTGCCACTTTTTTTTACATTATGCTAATACAAAAATAGCTTTGAAAAAGCAGACTGGTGTGTCTACCTAATTTTAGCTGATTCTATTGTGACACTCTCTCTTGAACAGCACATTACAGAATCACTGTTGTAAACTTGTTYGTAATGGATATTCAAATTCAAGGTATGTTGCTGGCAATAAAGAAATAAGCAAATAACAACTCTTTGCCATTTTCTCTCCTTGGCATTATTACAGGTGGATTTCTCTTAAGCCATATTCTGTTTTGGTGGTGTAGGAGAATTCTTTAAGATAATTTACTCTTCCTTCACAGATTTACTCTTTTCCGATATTGAACATTATTACAATGAACAAAGACTGCAAAGCAGAATAGGAAACGCCTGCTTTGAAGGGCTTAAGTGTAACTTATGAAATTCAAAGACATCCAAAAGAAGTATCATCTTAGCGACTACTATATAACATGTGTGTGGGAGTGATGCATGGGAGGATGCATACACTTCTGTTTGTTAAAGAAACGTCCACAGCTTAGGACAAGATCTAATTAAAAATTTTAGTCCCAATAAAGACCACTTAGAACTAAACATTGCATGCTGCAGCTAATCACAATTACACTTCAAACCCGAAGCTGCAAGACAAGTAAGTGCTTTAAAGAAGGACCCCAAACAGACAGTATGTTAAGGGAGAAAACAAATGGAGATAACCTAATATAACCTAAATATTTCCTAGTAATAGGAAATATTAGGAAAGTGAAGTTTTTGAAATGTAAGTCTCTATGGAACTAATGTCCATCAGAGCTGAAGAAAAGCCTCATCTCTCATTTCATTTCCCAACTACTCAGTATAAGCACCTGTCCTCCACCTCTTCAAAAACAAACCAACCAAAAAAAAAAAAAAAAAAAAAGAGCAATCTGAGTATAAGCCACATTTCCTAACTAAGAAATATTGTGGCACAATTCTGTTTTCTGAGGTTTTTGATGTTTCTGAAATGAGGTAGTGTATATGTTTTAGGGCATATCAGTTTGTGGCATTTCTAGGCAACTTCAAAAGCAGAAGCATAAATATTTAGGAAGCTTTAAGGTGGAAGAAGAACAATGTCCATAATTGGGAGGTATTTWAGGAATGTTCTTGTTTTGGACATTGTCATGGAACGAGTGGTGGCAGGGGTGAGTGACAAATGCACTTCACTCATATGAAAGAAATAATAACAGGATTTATTAATATGGACAATGATTTCACGAGATTCTATGGCAAGGTCACTTATTATTCACTGCATGGAGGCTCAAGATAATACACAATTATCTTGGGATACCCTCCCGTTGGGTCACGAGGTTCAGATTGGACCCCCTTGCTTTCCAGGCTCCTTCTGAGAGGAGCCTGGGTGCGGCTGAATCCAATCCTAGTCCCAGACCTGGTCAATGGTTTATGACTGAGGGTGCTTATGTTACAAAGTTAAAGAAAGAGAGAGAGAGAGAGAGCAAGCAAGGAAGAAAGAATGAAAGAAAGAAAGCGCGCTATATTCACTTACCACAAATCTGCTGTGGAAAGGAAGATCTCTCGAGGAACCTCGAGGAGTAACCTTGAGAGGCGTCCCTGCCCAAGGGGAGATCCTGGTGTGCAGGCCGCAGCCGTGTCAGGAGAGCTCAAAGGGGCTCTCAGGCTGTCCGAGTATTTATGGAATAAGATGATTGGCTTGTAGTCATATTTTTAACTTCAAAGACTTAGGTTAGTGTGTCGGCCTTATCTCCCTGTTTACGATGCAGCCTTGAGGACTGTTTTTGTTAAGTCTCAGTGAGAACAGAAATCAGGACGATGGCGCCTGCCAGAATTAGATCGGTCGCTGGTGGTCAGCAACAAAACAGGGCTGCATGTAAGGTACAGGCCAGGATGAGCTGGGAAAGGAAGGTATCCATCACAGACATCCATGACACTTCAGTTTACGTCCTGTTCACATCTTTTAACTCATTTTTTATTGGTTCTAGAACAGAGTTCATAGATGAGTTAGAAATCCTACTCTATTCCCGTGGCTTTGGAGGCCAAATTCTGCCTTTAACACATCATGCAAAACATACAATTGAGCCATCCCTTTAAGCATGAAGCCAAGCACAGAAGTAGGTGAATCATTAGCTGGAGGTCAAATAGCAAAAATCCACAAATTCATTGCTTGCAACTACTCTCTGCTTACTCCATAGTGGACCTAATTCTAAATTCAATGTCGAATCCAGGGATAAATCTTTCAAAGCTCACTGTTGGGYGGACTGAGAGACTAATTTGCTCCAGCTGAGCCTACCTACTCACTCTCTTTACTCTAAGGACAGACACCTGTGGCATATCTTTTGTGCTGGGAAAACGTGCCAGCCACTTGCTAGCTACTGACTGGGTCATGCGCACCTTGTCAAAATGATCTATTTCATATAAGATGTATAGATACAAAATTACACAGCCTCAACAGGAAAAAAAAAAAAAAAAAAGGAAGGAAAGCAATCATTTTATTCACTGGACACATGCTGTCTTGAGGAGAGTTCAATTTGTAACAGTAGTTAATCATTCACAAACAAAAGAATAGAGTTTTAAAAAATAACTCATTTGTTCCTCACAGCAGAGGATTAAGACATGGTGTACTGGATAACTGGTACAAAATACGCCATGGAAGCAATTTTCTTTTGCATGTTCTCTGGAAAAYTCTTTTATCACTTTTTCATTCCACAGCAGAAAACTGTGATGCTTTCCCCGCCTTTTTACTTCAGAGACAACAACTGTGATGTGGAACAGCCTGCTTCGCTCTCAACATAGTCCTGAATAGTCATGAATAGCAGCTCTGATGTCAGGGGCGCTCTTTTTGCTGCGGTGCAGCTGGGCTGGATGTCTCCCACTTGAGCACCTGGCTCACACCACAAATGCTCAGGTATATGTTGCAAACTTCACGTCACTAGTAAGAATGGCAGATTCTCCTCTGGTTCATGTGGTAGAAGGAGTTAGTTGGACTCTTGTAAGGTTAAACGTGCTGCCTGGTAAACAGCACGAGAACAACTCGGTCCATCCCTCGCCKGGGCTGTTTTTCCGAGCGAGCGCTTGCTGGGGGCGTGGGGTTGTCCTTAGGGAGGCAGGTGACATCTTGCCATGAGCAGGGGACATCTTGTACGGACCAGGGCCTTCCCCAGGAAACTTAAACACATTCCAAGGGACCTTTCGCTCATATATGTTATACACGCATTATACATCTATACTTTTATATATCATTTATAACGTGTGCCATGTAATGAATGCATACTGCTTGCAAAACAGATCGTATCTCAAAAGTTTTATTGAAAAAAACCATGCTGGAAAAATGCATTGCTCCTCTGTGAAATCCCCTTTTCCAGGTGTTCTCCCCTGAAGCACAGTCCGCGCGCGGGAGCAGCCGCGACCGCGGCCCGTCCCCTCGGGGGCGCCCCCGCACCGGCGCGGCCTAGC